AAACCTGTCACACCCACGCTGGGAGTGCCTTGTGTCCTGCCATTGCTACAGTAGTAGTGACCAGCACATTTGCACGCAATGCAGCCGGTCTCAAACCTCGTGCAAACGAGGTCGGGATGTTAGTCAATCGAACCTAATATCCTTATATATATTCCAGTCAGGCAGCCAATCCACTGGAGGATCATCCCGTTAATCGGGATATATAAGGCAGGATTCTCTCCTTGACCGGCGCGCTGACTTTAGAGCTGCTTTGTTAGCTTCTGCTGACACATTACCCCCTTGCTGTTTCTTTTTTGCTCGACCGAGATAAAAAATCTGATTAAATCAAGAGGAGTTTTCAACTATCTGCTTATATTCAGGCACGCGACTTACAATTTTCTCTCTCTCGGTCTCCTTGTCTGCTCTTTGCTATCCTCTCCATCGTTTCTCTCTTAATTGCTCGTCGCTCCAGGATCTCCTTGAGCCCTGCGCGTGGGTCAGGACCTGTTGCCTGCTGCAGCGCTCTCTCCAGCTCTGTCCACTGTTGTAACAAAGCCTGCTTCAGATCCAAATCTGAGCCAAAACCACCCTTTCTGCAGGAACATGATCTGCAGAAAGTTTAATGTTCCTGAGTGGCCCCATCAAAGTCCTTACTTAATCTTATTGAGAACCTGTGGAAAGACCTTAAAGGGCGGAGCGTTGGCTCTGTGGCTAAGGATCTGCGCCTGTGGCTGGAAGGTTGCCGGTTCAAATCCCGCAGCCGGCAGAGGAATCCTACTCTTGGGCTCCTGAGCAAGGCCCTTCACCCCAACTGCTCCAGGGGTGCTGTACAGTATAAATGGTTGACCCTGTGCTCTGACCCCAAGCTTCTCTCCCTGTCTGTGTGTCTCATGGAGAGCAAGCTGGGGTATGCGAAAAGACAATTCCTAATGAAATTGTAAAGGGTAAATAAAGCGATGTTGTTATTATTATTAAAGCTGCTATCCATAAGTGAACCCAAAGCAGCAAAAATTGCACCAAGCCAGTGTTTGTGCTTAATAGAGACTTACTCAAAATGACAAGCAGCTGCAATCAACAGATTTCAATTTCTTCTTGTTAGTCGTTACTGACATTTCCTAGGAGACTTCAGTTAGAGTCTTCAGGTTTTGACTAAAATACATCCCCAAAATGAGTCACTAAAAGAAGACACTGAGTACTTTCACAAGGTGTTGCACTGTATGTAGAGACCTCCAGAGGCTTCCTGTTTATAAACTAGTATAAAAGGAGGCAAACACTTAGACATTAAATGGCAGCATGCATTATCCCGCTTCTGGTCAGAGATCTCTTTAAAGACTGCGGGTTAGTTGGGGGATGGTTATAAAACAGAAAAGCTGAATCTACTACTTTCAACTTCTTGTGGGTTGAATATCCTTTATTCTCTTCAGACTATTGAATTGAACATGCTGCCTTTGATATTACTCTAGGTGTCTGTAAAACGTTTCAGAACTTTTGTGAAAGGTGTGAGCAGAATTTGTCTGTGGTGAAATCTGTGCTTTGTGCCTCTCTTCATTTTCTTTATACTATGTGTTTTCTGGGCTCTTCACGTTATGGTTTCTAAACTACTGTAATCAGATCCCAGACCGAACCATGTGTACCATCGGGTAGAGGTGAGAATCTAAATTTGCATTTGCGATTAAGCATTTTATGGAGCTCATTTGACAACATTGCGTTTGGTGAAATGTCCATTTTTATTTCAATAATGCCCCAGTAAATAGAGATGTAGAGTTTCTGGAATTATATTTGTATCACAATACAAAATACCATACTTTATTTTACAGTACATGGGTTCAGCAGTTTTTAAGTAGAGTACACCATGCGTGTTGCACCTGTCAGATGGTCTTTTATTTTTTCATGGTTGCCTTCAGCATGCCACACTACTGAAATCTACTTCAAGTGCAATTTAACTATTCCACACTTGTGCCACTGACGGGTAAGTACTTTCAGTTCAAATCAAATGTGAACATGTTCAAATATACTGGCATCTGTGTCTGTATGCACATCAATATCTAGAGAAAAAAACATTCCTTTCTTGTGAAAATCAGTGATCAATTTTGATTAACTATTTCCTTTGCAGTTGACCTTCAGTTTCAGTTCCCCACTTTTTATACCCACCACTATCTAAATTTATTACATTTAAGAAATTAACATAACCGAGGAAAATCAGTCTTTTTTACAGGGGAGTGCTGTCTCATTCAAATGCGATCATATATGTAATAGAAAGGGTACAAACAAGAAGTGAACAATAAGTCTCTATGGCTTATTTTGTTGCTAGTAGCCAAGATCTGAGAATCTCATCCAGCCATTTTTTGAAAGAAAGCAAGTCCGCTCTGAGATGTGATCCAGAGTCCCTTGGCCTCTGTATTAATTCCCACAATGCTTTGTGTGCCATCATTGTGGTGCACCAGGTGGAAGTTATGCATGTGCCTCTGTGATTTGGAGCGCAAGAATCATATTAATAAATGTGAAAAACGTTTTAGAAAATGACAAGTCAAGCACCAAAAGGTCAATGTCTCTGAAGTGAAGATAAGGAATAGGAGTATTATTTTTTTCTTCTTTTCCAGTGATATAGCAGGGTTTAGGTCATCCTTTCTGGCTCTCAATGCAGAGAACAAAATAATTTCACGGAGTATGGCTCATAAACTTCTCATTTGAAAAGTACAAGTAGCCTGACACCTGGTCATATTCCAAAAGGACTTCTTACGCATCTGAGGGATTTCATTTCAAAATCCAGTTTGAAGAATTTAAACAGACCCACACAAAAGCAGCAGTTAAAACTAACGTGGAATTAATACACGCTAAACTGTTTCTATTAATTATATAAAATTAATTATATATCCATTAGTCGGACCTCAATATGGCACCCACACAGTTTAATGGCATATGGTTCACTGATGAAGACAGATGCCTACCTGACTGCATGTTTCTGTAGAATTTGCAAGGGAAAGTATCCTAAATTTAAAAATACTCCAGCAAGTGAAAGAATCTAAAAAAATCTTTGCTATAGGGCTTGGCGATATATAGAAAATGTATCGATACCGACGTTAAGAATCTCTCACTGACCTAATTTTGCTTATGTCTGGATTTTCGGTAAAGGCTCTCCCTGCTATTGTGCTTTCATGAGTGTCTGCTTAAAAAAGTAAACACACAGTCGTCATATCCAGTCACATGCTTCTCCATCGTCCAACCTTCCTTCTTCATTCAAAACGCAAGGAAGCGCGCCGGGCTCATGCTGAACCCCAGTCAGGCAGGGATGACTCAAGTACAAATGAAGACGAGCTGGTATCTAAACAAAACGCAGTGTCGATCGTTTGGTCATATTTAGGCTTCAGCAAACAGGATACTGAACAAAGCGGAGTCAGATGGAAACTCTGTCTGAAAACCGTTTCTGCGCCCAAATGTAACACGAGCAACTTGTTTCATCACTTGAAGCACAACCATGTTGTGGAAAACGAAGAGTGCATGGCCAAAAAACGAGAGAGTCTGACAAGCGCACTCGTGGCCAAAATGATTCCCCCAAACAGCTGTCTCTAACACAAGCATTTACTAATGCCACTCAATACGCAAAAGATTCACGCAGTTATAACGAAATAACTAACATTCCATACTAAATAGCGAAGGACATGGTCCCAATTGCTACAGTGGAACACAGTGGTTTCAAAAGACTCGTTCAAACCCTTGACAAGAGATACGTTGTGACCTCCAGAAAATATTTTTTCTCAAATTGCGGTGCCTGACAATTACAAAGCTTTAATAGTTTCGCATATTTAAAACATGATCTTTCAGCTTATCATGTAATCATATAATTTCAAGGGTTTCAAAAAATTATCGTTAATTTATCGTTATCGAGGTAAATGTGTGAAATTATCGTGATATTGATTTGAGGTCATATCGCCCAACCCTACTCTGCTACAAGGAATGAGGTAGGCCAACGCTACCTTGAAGTTCAAAAATTGTGTTTACGAATTAAGGATCCATTTTATGCTGTGGGCGTTTTGGATGGTCATGAATTATTTATACCTTATGACTTGGGAGATCATATACTGTAGTTATCTTAAATTTGAGATGTATTGTAGCAATGTGAAGGCTTTGAAGGAGAGCAACTTGTTGAAAAGTTTTTCAATTCTAATCCTTCTCTCCCTCCTTGATACTGTGAGGAAGTGATCAGTAGTTTCATAATACGTCAGCAGAAGACGGCTTGATCTGTTATTGAGGGCAATCCGGAGCAGATTTGAGAGCACTTGAGGGCAGAGCGGTGGCTCTGTGGCTCAGGATCAGTGCCTGTGGCTGTAAGGTTGCCGGTTCAAATCCCACGGCTGGCAGAGGAATCATACTCCGCTGGGCCCCTGAGCAAGTCCCTTAACCCCAACTGCTCCGGGGGCACTGTATGGCTGACCCTGCACTCTGACCCCAAGCTTCTCTCTGTCTGTGTCTCATAGAAAGCAAACTGAAGTATGTGAAAAATTCCTAATGTAAGAAATTGTATATGGCCAATAAAGTGATCTTATCTCATATCTTGATTGCTCTGGCCCTGGGCAGGTTGCCCAGCTACTGCATTGCAAAGGGAAAAAGGCACAGTTTAGAATAGCCAATTAAACCTAGTTGCCATGCATTTAGTAGGTGGGAGGATGTGGATTCATGCTTAATAATTCATGAATTCAGGATTATGACGAGCTTTTAGCAGCAGATTTTTTTTTTTGTGAAGGTACAAACTGGCATATTTGATTGCTACAAAATCATTTTTGTAGTTAATCAAAATGTATCCATTATTCTCAACCTTTGATCTAGGCTGCAACCACAAAATCAATAACTAGAAGCTTTTAAAACAGCTCAACATAATACCATGGCTTTTCCCTTAATTTGATGTAGAAATAAAAAAGAATCTTTTAACTATGATAGCTGTACTTTTCATTTAAAAAGTTTGCATTTTGTATGTTTTTAAATCTTTAGATTTTAACATTGCATGCTTTTATTTATTTTTTCAGAATCAAAGCCGAAAGCTTCCAGAGTTTGACATTGCCAAGTATGAGAACACATTCTATCTGTTTTGGATCTTGGAACAACTTCTCCAGACTGATGAAAGAGGAGCTGGACCAGTTCCTCAGGATTCTTCTGAGCTAAGAGTGTGGCATCAGAGACTGCAGAAGAGTTTTCTTTGTTTGTCTGATGAATTTCCTTTGTTTGCCATCTATATGTGGCGAATTGGAGCCTACCTATGTACAGACACCGAAATAAAGTGATTTTTTTGTTTTTTAAATTATGTTTTACTATATAATAAAACCTAAAAAGAGTGTTTTAATAAGAACTGAAATATAGTTCTATCAGTTACTGTAGATCCATTATTTAAAGAAAAAGGAAAAATCTAGCTTTCCCTAGTTATCATTTTCTTTGTTGCTTGTGCAATACAAATCTTGAAAAGTGTTGGTCCTATTTTAACCAGAATGGCTGCCTCACCTACTCTTTAATTTAATCAGATTGCAAATTGATTCTGTTCAGAGAGTTCATGTGACAAGCTTTAAATTTGGACAACAGCATCTCAAAAAGCATTAATGCTGCAGAAAGGATACCTACTGTATTTAACCTACATTTTCTACTACAATTTCAAAATTCTTCTTCTGAAGCCTGATTTAGGCAACAGATGGATGTTGTTCCTGTTTTCTCATTCCTGCTGATCCTTTGTATTGTCCCTTTCCAGCTGAGTTTAATTCTTAAATATCCATCCAGTATTTTGAAAAACAATGGAGGTTTAACATTACATTTTACATACTGTACTTCATCCCCATTTTATTCAAAATTGGAGAAATGCTGTTACTCCAAGTATTCCAAAACAGTTTTACACTACACATAATTTATGCTCTATAATAAAGATGATTGTCAAGAGTTGCTAAGATGGTCACAATTGTAAATCGCACTCCAGCCAGTAGCCCATCTCATCAGCCAGTCTCACCTGGTTCAAAGTAGAGCCTGTACAGTACTTACTGCATTATAGTTTCATTGCCAAACATTGGCACTTGCTTGAAAAACATCGAAAATGCTTGCCACTGTTTCCAGTTGTTATTTCATCGCGTGATGTAGAAAAGCTCCCAGCTGGCTGAGGAATAAGAGAATTCATTCGTGAGACACAGTGTGGAAGGTGGAAAGGCTGGCTGGACGTGGAGTTACAAAGGGCTGATGGAGAACAGACTGAGCCCAGGAACGGACACTATCCCATTGAAATGGGATAATCATTGGAAATGGGATTTTTACAGGAGGGACTTTTTTACTGAAAATGTTGTGGAATTGGTTCCCTGGTTTATTTCAAGAAACAAGATCCTTGGATCAATCAACTACTAGCTACCAAACAAGCTGGATGGGCCAAATCTTTAATAAGCTTTCATATGTTTTTATTAAATATTTAGCAGGAATTGATTCGTTCTCATGAAACAGAGATACAGATACAGTAAATGTAGAAAGACTGATGTTGAATTGTGATACATTCGATAATCTCTTACCGATGGTATTAAAGTTAGTGTTTATTGAGTATTCAATGTAGCTAGCAGTAGTGTATAAGGCTTCGAAATACCATAAAACCTCTACTTCTGCCAGGGTTACAGTTGCATTTCACTTGGCTTAATTAAGGTGGTATGATGTGAGATTCAGGTTTAGCCTGAAAGACTTGTGCGAGCTGGATGTTGGCTTTTGCCTATGAAAAAGTCCCTCAACCTCAAAGTGACAAAGTTTTTAAAACGTAACTCACACTGTTCCAGGACAAATGTTGGAACAATAATTCAAGTCTTAATTTAAGGGGAGTTAAAACACTAAAACCTAACTACTTCATACAGAAAGAATATGAAATGGACAAACGTGACTTGAATACATTGCAAGGTATTCTGACCCTAGCCTCAGCCATTTTCCAAGCCCTACATTTGCTGCTCATTAAATCATTAAACCGAGGTGTAATACTATCTGTGTTAAAGGTATTCCAAATTTGAACAGTAGCACATTTGGACATTTTGCGATAGAACTATGGTTCAACCTTCCATTCAGTACACGAAACCTTAGTTCAGATTACAGCTACGTTTTTGCTGGACTTAAAAGTTGCAGTATGAGTGTTGTTTTGGAGTTAACTTTACATTTTGTTTTCAAATTCGGAGTTAGGAATAATCGTTTCCTTACATTAAGATTGTGCAGTGTACCTACATGTGGTTCGCCGTTGTAGAACTTATTTTTGAGGTGCTCACTTCTCCAATTGGAATCAGTTTCATCATGTCTTCATAAATTATTGACATGTTAAGGGTGCCTTTCAGCTGATATCAATCATTTCAACGGTTCCGCCAGATGCCAGCCTTTCTCCATGTCATCTTCTCATCTTTCATATCCTGTCAGCAGCAGAGGGGAACAAAGCAGACACTTCAGCTGGCTTTGGTGCTGCTGGTGTACAGTACGTGCTCAGATCATTAATTTTTTACTGTTTGTTCTTTAATACATCAGATGGAACCCTATGTGCTCTTACTGGTGAGGTATCCAAAATGTGACTTCTAATACTGTATAGTATTCATAGTGTTTTAAAAATCTTCGCCAATTTATCTACAAGTACCAAATGTCAGTCATTTCTTATTGTTCGTTTGTTTGCACAGTGTGTATAATAAGTCCAATAAATTAATTTTTATTAATCCCTCTCTACGTACAGGAACCCAGAATACTAAAATGCCTCTCAACATCAAACACAAATCTCTCAACAATCAATTCCCAGCCTAGGTCAGCTGCTCACTACTGTCTTTTCCCCAGGTGCAGTGCGCAACCAAGGATCTGCTCTCTTAGCCAAACAGCAGATGTGATACCACAGAAAGCCCCACTTATTAATAAAAAAAACCTCAAGTATTTGGTCTAACCACTTTCAGGCACATCAAGTTGGTATTGTTTTAATTGTGTACTAGATCAAATATTTGATAGGCGCTATCACAATCACGCTACAGTGTTAGAAACCCGGGGGTGTCACAAAATGGGGTGGTTATTAAATATACAATAAGAGTATCATCCGGTGCTGACACCATCTTGCTAGGCAAGCAAAATTGGGACTAATAAGTCTTTCCAGAAAAGGTATTGCAGAGTGTTACGTGGTGGCATATGCCTTATTTATTTTATATTCCAACACAGCTTGATAATAGAGTAACCAGGCCCAGACTTAGCCAAATATTTGTTAATAATATACAATACACACCACACAACTGTACACAATATACAACGGTAATCACTATGAACAAATATTTAGATTGACTTTCAAAGTCCCACCTTCTGCTGACTTAGAAAAACCAGAACTCCTGTCATAATCCAAATACAAGAAATCAAACCAACCCTGCATCCTAATAGGATCCTAATTAAACAGACTAAATCCCCCTCTCTAAACGAACTCACAATTGGAAAAGGAACTGATTTCCCTGTTGTCTACAAAGGCATCCCTAAAATAAGAGAGGAGTTGATAGCTTTAGGATTCCACAACATTCCCAAATTCCTAAAACAGAGCCAGCAACATAATCAGAATAAAACTCGGAGTCCGGCTCTCATTCAGTGTTTGGGATACCAGGATACAATCTTTTTTCAAGTCGGACTGAAAACAGGCGCTCACTCATGTTACAGGCTCTTCTGCATGTTTCTTTCTCCATCCGTCGGAAACTGGCTTAATGACCTCACTAGATCATTGTTGAATATCCATGTTCCTGTGCGTCTCGTGGAGAGCAAGCTGGGGTATGCGAAAAGACAAATTCCTATTGCAAGAAATTGTATATGGCTGATAAAGTGATCTCTCTCAATATAAATTAATAAATGTAATGATTTACAGTGACGTTTAAATACCCTTAGATGGAGTTAGAAATGAAAGTTTGGGAGCGATGTGAACAACCAAGTTCAATCAGACTTGGCTGTCAGTAATTAGCAATCATTCCTGATGTGACTTCCTCTCCTAAAACACTATAAATACAGCACTTGATCCCCTTCTCTCCCTCGTGTACGTCTTGCACCTCTCCTCCTCTGCAGCTGCCCCTTGGTCACTCCTCACTCTGCAGGGAGGGTCAGGTCAGCCCTCAGGCAAGTGGGTTAAGCCAATTTCTCACTAAATAATAATAATTGCTTACACTTATATAGCGCTTTTCTAGACTCTCCACTCAAAGCGCTTTACAGGTAATGGGGACTCCCCTCCACCACCACCAGTGTGCAGCCCCACCTGGATGGTGCAACAGCAGCCATAGTGTGCCAGAACGCTCACCACACACCAGCTATCAGTGGGGAGGAGAACAGAGTGATGAAGCCCTTACTCTTTCCGAGAAACGGAATTACCACAGAGTCAGGACCTTGGTTTACATCTCAACCGAAGGATGGTGCCTTTTAACAGTAAAGAGTCCCCGTCACTATACTGGGGCATTAGGACCCACACAGACCACATGGGGAGCGCCCCCTACTGGCCCCACTAGTGCCCACAGGTGCCCTGACTACAACAACAGTATTTTAGTTATTGCCAGAGATTGTTGTTTTTTTTTTGTTTTGAATGAAAAAAAGTAATTTTGATGGAGCTTATTTTTCTCCATAAATGTAATTGTGCAAAAAAATAAGTAAAAAGAGGTGCAGTTCTTTTGGCGTACCTGCGATTCTTACATACACCTTGTACAAGCCATATAATTGTAGTTCCCATCTGATATTTCTTACATAATTCAAACTTTCTACAGCTACAGTATTTGGCATCAGTATATGAATGTCCAAACGTTGCTGTTTATACATTTGCTTTTGTTAAGTTTTAAAACATTATTTTTTATATGCCAAGGACTTAAGCAACTGCAAACACGAATCTCTAAAATTGAATTCATAATGTTATCGTGGTTCACTGCAATGACTACAACTGCAAACTGCCAAATTGCAGCCCACAAACTACAGACTATCTCCTCAGAGTTTAGCACAAGTATATTTCCTTCCTTTTAAGAGACCCTGGATGGATAGCCCTTTAAAGAAGTTGTCATCTGAGATCTGAGATTTTACTTGTGTCCCCGTTGTGCCACTCAGATATTTGAGAGTAGTGGAGCACAGAGTGAATGATCAAATGTCAAAGCAGGAACATAACATCAGCTGTGCATGAAAATCTATGCTCACATAATGG